CTGGAAAAATCTTTGTGACAGGTACGAAAATAAACGTATCCTTGTCAACGCTCAGTTAAAGGTATTATTTAATTTAAACTCAGTTGAGAGTGAATGCGGTAGCTCTATCAAGAAACTGCAACGCGACATAAATAATTGCATCTCCTCGCTTCAGTGTCATCAGATTGATGTTGCAAATTGGGATGCAATATTCACATATTTGTGTTCGACAAAACTGCCAGAAACGACACTGGCACTATGGGAGCAAACCATAGAAAATAAAACTGAGANCCGTCACAGGTCTTGGGGGAGATATAGCTTCGAAACCTAAACCACCAAGCTCTCGCACTTCTGCAGAGACGCCTGCAAAAAAGCTTGGCGCCTTTCAAGCCAGTGAAGCAAAGGCAACATGTAAAATCTGCAACAGCAATGCACACAAGCTATCAAAGTGCGACAGATTTTTGCGTCTAAAGCCGACGGAGCGAGTAGATTACGTGAAGAGCATTCGCAGTTGCTTGAACACAGTCTCAAGATGTACCAGCTCATTTAACTGCAGCACTTGTCATTCAAGACATCACAAGTTGCTCCATATGCCAATTCAGCCAAAAGCAACAACTGATCCATCGGGTAACGTGGAATCTACTCCAAACCAGGCTCAATCAAGACGCGAATCTGAAAAAGGAAACATCAAATCGGTTACAAATGTAAATTCTTGTTACGCAAATACAAGTAAAGGAGTTCTATTGGGAACAGCACGGCTACAGCGCTTATAGATTCTGGTTCTGAGTGCTCGTTCATTGCTGAGAGAGTCAAATGGAGAATCAACCTGCCATCAAAACGCTTGCATGCCCAAGTTTCGGGCATCAATAACTCTGTATCTGCGCAGGTAAAAGAAGCGTGTGCTATTCAACTTCGGTCACCCACAGACCCGTTAATTAATATAGAAGCAATTGTGCTGGTTTTACCACAATTAACCGGGGATCTTCCGACTTGTCAGATAAGCGCAATGACGCGGCAATCGTTCCCAGACTTGGTCTTGGCGGACAAAAGATTCTTCGTCAATGAGCCAGTTGACCTGGTCTTAGGAGGAGATATTTACCCGCAAATAATTTTAAGCGGAATGAGGAAGAACGTATTAAATACGCTTCTCGCGCAAGAGACCGTGTTCGGTTGGATACTGACTGGTCGCGCGGACTCAGTCAGTCCAACTAACAATATCGTATCGTATTTTAACGAAGTCACGTTGGACAAGCAGCTAGCTGCATTTTGGGAGCTGGAGGATGTCCCAAAGAAAAAAGGCATCAACGAAGATGATAAATACTGCGAATAGCTCTTCGAAGCATCTACAACACGAAATACAGATGGAAAATACATTGTGTCTCTACCTTTTAAACGGGATTTTCCGAAAAATGTGTGCTTAGAACCTTCGCTGAAAAATGCATGCTCTCAGTTCTACCGGAACGAGACGCGACTAGCGAAAAAGCCGGTCCTTNAACCTTCGCTGAAAAATGCATGCTCTCAGTTCTACCGGAACGAGACGCGACTAGCGAAAAAGCCGGTCCTTCAAACAGAGTACAACCGGGTTGTATCTGAATACGAGACACTAG